GCGCATTGGACTTCTAATCATACATCAGAGATGTTATTCAAAGGTTGTGGGTTCATCAGAGATGTTATTCAAAGGTTGTGGGTTCGAGTCCCACCAGAGTCAACCTTTTGCAGTGTTTAAAACCGTGACGGCACGAATTTTCAGCAAATACAAGGTCCTTGAGCATTTTTTGTTATTATTTTGCAAAAAGAGGCTCCAGCGCTGGCTCTGTGGCGCAATGGATAGCGCATTGGACTTCTAGTCATACATCAGAGATGTTATTCAAAGGTTGTGGGTTCATCAGTCCCACCAGAGTCAACCTTTTGCAGTGTTTAAAACCGTGACGGCACGAATTTTCAGCAAATATAAGGTCCTTGAGCATTTTTGTTATTATTTTGCAAAAAGAGGCCGCAGAGCAGGCTCTGTGACGGCATGAATTTTCAGCAAATACAAGGTCCTTGAGCATTTTTGTTATCATTTTGCAAAAAGAGGCTCCAGTGCTGGCTCTGTGGTGCAATGGATAGCGCATTGGACTTCTAGTCATACATCAGAGATGTTATTCAAAGGTTGTGGGTTCGAGTCCCACCAGAGTCAACCTTTTGCAGTGTTTAAAACCGTGACGGCACGAATTTTCAGCAAATACAAGGTCCTTGAGCATTTGCTCTTGTGCTTAGTAAGTATGGCAAATGCCATAATGGTCAAAAAGTTAAGTGTGGAATGCTGGACAGTCCTCACAATCAAACTCACAGTAGCGAGCTTGGCTACATAGCGAAAGGTTTGTGCCAATTAAAGATTGGATTTGCAGTGTTTAAAACCATGATGGCGCAAAACTTCAGCGGTGCAATGGATAGCGCGTTGGACTTCTAGTCATATATCAGAGATGTTATTCAAAGGTTGTGGGTTCATTAGAGATGTTATTCAAAGGTTGTGGGTTCGAGTCCCACCAGAGTCAACCTTTTGCAGTGTTTAAAACCGTGACGGCACGAATTTTCAGCAAATACAAGGTCCTTGAGCATTTTTGTTATTATTTTGCAAAAAGAGGCTCCAGCGCTGGCTCTGTGGCGCAATGGATAGCGCATTGGACTTCTAGTCATACATCAGAGATGTTATTCAAAGGTTGTGGGTTCATCAGTCCCACCAGAGTCAACCTTTTGCAGTGTTTAAAACCGTGACGGCACGAATTTTCAGCAAATACAAGGTCCTTGAGCATTTTTGTTATTATTTTGCAAAAAGTGGCTCCAGCGCCGGCTCTGTGGCGCAATGGATAGCGCATTGGACTTCTAGTCATACATCAGAGATGTTATTCAAAGGTTGTGGGTTCATTAGAGATGTTATTCAAAGGTTGTGGGTTCGAGTCCCACCAGAGTCAACCTTTTGCAGTGTTTAAAACCGTGACGGCACGAATTTTCAGCAAATACAATGTCCTTGAGCATTTTGTTATTATTTTGCAAAAAGTGGCTCCAGCACGGGCTCTGTGGCATAATGGATAGCGCATTGGACTTCTAGTCATACATCAGAGATGTTATTCAAAGGTTGTGGGTTCGAGTCCCACCAGAGTCAACCTTTTGCAGTGTTTAAAACCGTGACGGCACGAATTTTCAGCAAATACAAGGTCCTTGAGCATTTTTGTTATTATTTTGCAAAAAGAAGCTCCAGCGCCGGCTCTGTGGCGCAATGGATAGCGCATTGGACTTCTAGTCATACATCAGAGATGTTATTCAAAGGTTGTGGGTTCATCAGAGATGTTATTCAAAGGTTGTGGGTTCGAGTCCCACCAGAGTCAACCTTTTGCAGTGTTTAAAACCGTGACGGCACGAATTTTCAGCAAATACAAGGTCCTTGAGCATTTTTGTTATTATTTTGCAAAAAGAGGCTCCAGCGCTGGCTCTGTGGCGCAATGGATAGCGCATTGGACTTCTAGTCATACATCAGAGATGTTATTCAAAGGTTGTGGGTTCATCAGAGATGTTATTCAAAGGTTGTGGGTTCAAGTCCCACCAGAGTCAACCTTTTGCAGTGTTTAAAACCGTGACGGCACGAATTTTCAGCAAATACAAGGTCCTTGAGCATTTGCTCTTGTGCTTAGTAAGTATGGCAAATGCCATAATGGTCAAAAAGTTAAGTGTGGAATGCTGGACAGTCCTCACAATCAAACTCACAGTAGCGAGCTTGGCTACATAGCGAAAGGTTTGTGCCAATTAAAGATTGGATTTGCAGTGTTTAAAACCATGATGGCGCAAAACTTCAGCGGCGCAATGGATAGCGCGTTGCACTTCTAGTCATATATCAGAGATGTTATTCAAAGGTTGTGGGTTCATTAGAGATGTTATTCAAAGGTTGTGGGTTCGAGTCCCACCAGAGTCAACCTTTTGCAGTGTTTAAAACCGTGACGGCACGAATTTTCAGCAAATACAAGGTCCTTGAGCATTTTTGTTATTATTTTGCAAAAAGAGGCTCCAGCGCTGGCTCTGTGGCGCAATGGATAGCGCATTGGACTTCTAGTCATACATCAGAGATGTTATTCAAAGGTTGTGGGTTCATCAGTCCCACCAGAGTCACCCTTTTGCAGTGTTTAAAACCGTGACGGCACGAATTTTCAGCAAATACAAGGTCCTTGAGCATTTTTGTTATTATTTTGCAAAAAGAGGCTCCAGCGCTGGCTCTGTGGCGCAATGGATAGCGCATTGGACTTCTAGTCATACATCAGAGATGTTATTCAAAGGTTGTGGGTTCGAGTCCCACCAGAGTCAACCTTTTGCAGTGTTTAAAACCGTGACGGCACGAATTTTCAGCAAATACAAGGTCCTTGAGCATTTTTGTTATTATTTTGCAAAAAGTGGCTCCAGCACCGGCTCTGTGGCGCAATGGATAGCGCATTGGACTTCTAGTCATACATCAGAGATGTTATTCAAAGGTTGTGGGTTCATTAGAGATGTTATTCAAAGGTTGTGGGTTCGAGTCCCACCAGAGTCAACCTTTTGCAGTGTTTAAAACCGTGACGGCACGAATTTTCAGCAAATACAAGGTCCTTGAGCATTTTTGTTATTATTTTGCAAAAAGAGGCTCCAGCACTGGCTCTGTGGCGCAATGGATAGCGCATTGGACTTCTAGTCATACATCAGAGATGTTATTCAAAGGTTGTGGGTTCATCAGTCCCACCAGAGTCAACCTTTTGCAGTGTTTAAAACCGTGACGGCACGAATTTTCAGCAAATACAAGGTCCTTGAGCATTTTTGTTATTATTTTGCAAAAAGTGGCTCCAGCACCGGCTCTGTGGCGCAATGGATAGCGCATTGGACTTCTAGTCATACATCAGAGATGTTATTCAAAGGTTGTGGGTTCATCAGAGATGTTATTCAAAGGTTGTGGGTTTGAGTCCCACCAGAGTCAACCTTTTGCAGTGTTTAAAACCGTGACGGCACGAATTTTCAGCAAATACAAGGTCCTTGAGCATTTTTGTTATTATTTTGCAAAAAGAGGCTCCAGCGCTGGCTCTGTGGCGCAATGGATAGCGCATTGGACTTCTAGTCATACATCAGAGATGTTATTCAAAGGTTGTGGGTTCATCAGTCCCACCAGAGTCAACCTTTTGCAGTGTTTAAAACCGTGACGGCACGAATTTTCAGCAAATACAAGGTCCTTGAGCATTTTTGTTATTATTTTGCAAAAAGTGGCTTCAGCGCCGGCTCTGTGGCGCAATGGACTTCTAGTCATACATCAGAGATGTTATTCAAAGGTTGTGGGTTCATTAGAGATGTTATTCAAAGGTTGTGGGTTCGAGTCCCACCAGAGTCAACCTTTTGCAGTGTTTAAAACCGTGACGGCACGAATTTTCAGCAAATACAAGGTCCTTGAGCATTTTTGTTATTATTTTGCAAAAAGTGGCTCCAGCACTGGCTCTGTGGCGCAATGGATAGCGCATTGGACTTCTAGTCATACATCAGAGATGTTATTCAAAGGTTGTGGGTTCATCAGTCCCACCAGAGTCAACCTTTTGCAGTGTTTAAAACCGTGACGGCACGAATTTTCAGCAAATACAAGGTCCTTGAGCATTTTTGTTATTATTTTGCAAAAAGTGGCTCCAGCGCCGGCTCTGTGGCGCAATGGATAGCGCATTGGACTTCTAGTCATACATCTGAGATGTTATTCAAAGGTTGTGGGTTCATTAGAGATGTTATTCAAAGGTTGTGGGTTTGAGTCCCACCAGAGTCAACCTTTTGCAGTGTTTAAAACCGTGACGGCACGAATTTTCAGCAAATACAATGTCCTTGAGCATTTTTGTTATTATTTTGCAAAAAGTGGCTCCAGCACCGGCTCTGTGGCGCAATGGATAGCGCATTGGACTTCTAGTCATACATCAGAGATGTTATGCAAAGGTTGTGGGTTCGAGTCCCACCAGAGTCAACCTTTTGCAGTGTTTAAAACCGTGACGGCACGAATTTTCAGCAACTACAAGGTCCTAGAGCATTTTTGTTATTATTTTGCAAAAAGTGGCTCCAGCACCGGCTCTGTGGCGCAATGGATAGCGCACTGGACTTCTAGTCATACATCAGAGATGTTATTCAAAGGTTGTGGGTTCGAGTCCCACCAGAGTCAACCTTTTGCAGTGTTTAAAACCGTGACGGCACGAATTTTCAGCAAATACAAGCTCCTTGAGCATTTTTGTAATTATTTTGCAAAAAGAGGCCGCAGAGCAGGCTCTGTGGCGCAATGGATAGCGCATTGGACTTCTAGTCATACATAACCTGAAAACCGTGACGGCATGAATTTTCAGCAAATACAAGCTGCTGGAGAGAAGAGAATTCCAAGGAAGATGCGAAGCATTTTTAAAATTTATAAAAACGACTAATGATTAAAACGCTCAACGTTGTGATGTCTGTTAGCCATCGCCAACCCTGTTTTCGACAATGTTTATGTTGGTGTGGGTTTGTGTATCCATGTTATACATAACTATAATATTAAATAAAAATATCATTTATTTAGATTTGGTGAAAAAAATGTGATTCTGTGAGTGTGTGTACCTCAGATAATTTCTGACACATGTTGTCCTCCCAGCCATCTTCAGGAGGCATTTCTGGGATAAAAACCCAATCTGCTCCACATGCCAGGGCACTCACCAGGGCCAAGTATCTGCACACACACACACGAAATATTTAAATAAATCTTTTGAATATTTACTTCCCTGTAACAGATATGTGTTATGAAACATTTTATGTACACAACATATACAGACGGGAGTAACAAACTCATTTTTACTCGTACCTACCTAAACATACTATTGCCCTAAACACACATGCATGGGCCTTGCTCAATATGAGCCATGGCTTATTCAAAGGCAGATCCAAAAGGGTAAGAGGATTTAAATTTGAATATGTATGTTTAGAATAAATTTGACTTGGTATTTTCAAAATGTTGTCTGCATTGATTTCATTGTGCTTTGTTAATGAGACTTACTTTGTGTACAAGCATATTTAACTTAAATTCCTTACATATTATGAATATATATGTTCTTATGTGTACGGTGTTGTTACCTCTCTGTAGTGCAATCCAAACACAAAGAAAAGTGCCTACCCACAGTGCCTGCCCATGACCTCCAGCACAAATGTCCTCTGGTGGCTGGAAAAACAGCGGAAAACAGAAGCAATGTCAGAAACAAGAAAAAGCACTCATCGGTGCAACCCAGTGGACATGCGACATCTATTGCATGTTTGTCCGTCTTGGAAAATGGATCTCTCCTCTCTTGCTCTGCCTGAGGTTTCTTTCATTTTTTGCCAGGTTAAAAGTTTTATCATCATCTTTCCCATATCGTCATCTGAATCAAGGATCTTAAGACAGGGGGTGTCGTGTGCTGTACAGATTGAGAAGCAAAGTTGTGATTTTGGGGTATATTAATAAAATTCACTTGACTTGACTTATCTGTTGAAACAGGTCAGTGCAGGACAGATGATTAAGACACACTCACTGAAACCTTCACCCTAAACTTAACCATGTCTAAAAATTTCTTTGAGGTTTGGGAGACCCTGAGCTGACCCTAGCTAAAGAGAGATGTACTTGTGAAAGTTGGAAAGTGTTGTCCTGTCTCGCGACATGTTGTCTTTTTTCTTGTCTACTATGTTTTGTCAAAATTTATCAAGTCTGATCATGTCTTCCCATATTATATCATGTCTTGTCTCCTTATGTCGTGCCACAACTTGTCTTCTTGCGTCTTGTTATATCTTGAGTTCTAGCCTTTTATGTCCTGTCTTCTTAACATCTTTTACATCATGTCTTGTATTATTTTAGTCTTCTTATGTCTTCTCTTGCTACATCTTATTTTTTTCATTATGTTTTGTCTCTATGATTGGTGGGTCACTGAGCAATTACTATGCAACTGGCTCTGAGGCTCTCCTCTCAGGACTTGATCACCTCTGAGCCGTGGTCATGATGGCGTCCACCACCTCGATGATCCTGTGCAGTGCAGAGTCGGTGCCGATGGTCATGTCAGTGCCGCAGAAGTCATTGTCGATGGAGCCGACCATTCCAACAATGTGGAGCTCCGAGTTACTGCGGGCTGCTTCCTCATCGATCAGACCTGAAAAACATGAGCGGGAGAGAGATAAACAGTCTTTACACCTGTAAAGTAAGAGTGGTAGGGTGTCAACTGAAAGCCCTGCAGTGCGCTTACCTTGCTGGAGGAGCTCATCTAACAGGCCACTCCACTCCTCTCTGAAAAGGTTGGCTCCGGTCAGACTCCCGTCTCCACCAATCACACACAGGTTGGTGATACTGCGCTGCACAAGGTTGTGTGCTGCTTTCAAGCGGCCCTCATGGTTACGAAAGTCTTTACAGCGGGCGCTGCCGATGACTGTGCCACCCTGAGGGAAATATAAATTACAATCTGAAATCACATTATTCTCTCCTTAAATTGCTCTCCTGCTGGCTTGATTATGCTGTAAAAAAATACTTTTATTTTTTTTTAAACCATTACGATACTTTCAGATCTGTTATCTATCTATTTATGGTAATATTATTTTGAGTCTTTTTTAAGGTTGCGTGGCTCATACACTGCTGGTTGTTTCTAACAACATAAATATTTTTTCACTGTTTTACTGAAAGTAATCCTGACTGAGACAATTTCCAACTATGACAGTGAAAATGTGTAACTCAATCACGGACTCATTTGGCTCAAAGCTAATTGCATTGTTGCCAAGTCACTTCCAACACAAGCACAAATCCTGCCGTTCCTTCACAAACAGCAATTCATGGCACTAAAATACAGAGCAATAATTATAACATCAACAGTCTTTCAATTATAGCTGAATTTGAGAGTTTCATTATTAAGACAAAATCTGGATAGTTTCATCTCAACCTGATGCAATCAGATCAAGACTGTGTGACCTGAAACAGCAACACAAAGATCTGCTCACCACTTGCAACATGCTGGAGACACTTTCCCATGTCGCTTCTCTGATGTTGTCTCCACCGTCCACCATCCCCTGATACCCCTGAGAGGAGAAACAAACATGGTAACTGTTCATTGGCTCATTTCAGACATCTACGTAAACAGTACTTATGGTTATGGGTGGTTTTCTTCTGCCACAGTAGAGGGCTGCAGCTAGCTTTAATTATTTCATCTTTAAAATATCAACAACAAATCACACACAATCACAATTTCTCAGAGACAAAAATTACATCTTCAAATTGCTGGTTTTGTCAAAATAACAGTGGCAAATAGGGTGAGGTTTAGGGAGTCAAAGTACAGGTTTGATGTGGTGAGAGAAGGTACAGTAAACGACTATAAAAGACAACTCGACTGTTCTGACTCCATCCCCCATCACTCCATTGATCAGCTCCAGTCCACCAGCTCTACCTTCCCCACCTCAGCAGGTCCCTGGAGCCTTCAACAACTGCCCACTCCAGAGGCAATCCCCCCTCCCCCTACCTCAACAACGACCTTCTCCTGGGTCTCGGCTTCAATCTAACATCCCTCCGGAACCTAGAGCTGGTCTCATCAACAAGACCCAGGACCCCCACTTACACTGACTCCCATAACCTCCCCCCTCCACAATACACTCACACTGTAATTTTTTTATACATGTAAAACTTTTCTGCACTAACTAATTTAAACACAAACCATATTGTACATATAATTTATCTCTCCATGTCTTAATGTCAATTCTATATTTATGATTACATATACCTGGTATGTTTATTGGTTATTGTTAAGCACCAAAAAGCCAAAGCAAATTCCTTGTATGTGTAAACCTGCTTGGGAATAAAGCAGATTCTGAATCAGCAGATTCTGAATCAGCAGATGGTTTCAGCACTGTTAAGTTCCACTGTTTTTTTATTCACAATGTTGTGTATACTGATCCTACCAGCCCGAGACCAAAATAAAGGCATCATGGCACGCAGCTGTCATTACACACAGCCCAGTGGTTATCCGAGGCTGAAGCGGATGACAGTGCAGCCAGTGAAGGATGAAGCCTGGCCGTGGTAATTAGATTATATTGACACTAAGACCAGATTGTCTCTATCTTGTCACTGCCCTCAACCCCATTCAAACAACATACACTATCAGTCATTCTCAAACAAACAACTGTAAGCTATTAATTAAACAGGGATTTATTGTTGCTTTTCTTTTCTGACATTAAACCACTATGATTTATAATTCTGTGTCAGATTACCTTTAAGTGGTGAAACTGCAGAATACTTTTATTCTTTATTAAAGCTTTAATTTGAATTGCTTTACCATGCATTGAACTTCAGTTTAATATGTGTGAAGCCACACTGTGTGAAACACTGTCTGAGATGCAACAGTTTATATTTTGCATATGAGCACAGCGTATATCATCTAATCATGCACAATCTATCAAATTCTTCAGATGAGGAAATTTCATTTGAAATCACAAATGATGTTAGAATTATTAAATTAGGGTTTTGCAGAATATGTGAATAACACATTTCATTTAGGCCAAATCAAAAGACGAAAATGTTAAAAAGCAAAACACATCCTTACCGAAATTATTATTATTATAGCTACTGTGCTACTGATCTGTATGTCACCAAACTCACATTAAGATGTCTAGCCAGGAAAAAACATGACATGGAGACAGGCCAAGAGTCCAAAATGCATGACCAGATAGAAATCTGAAAAGGGCTAAAAGGTATTAGGCAATTTAAGGAAGATATCAACAATAAAGACTTCTTTCTGCACTGTGAATAAAATGTTTTATTACCAGAGCACTCCCAAATGACAATAAATGACAGCTTTTGTTGACTCTATAGTGTTTCTTGGAGGACAGAAATGTTTCACATACACGTAATACTCCAGCGACTGTCCCTCTGCAAATCTTGACATATTTCATGTCAAGATTTAAACACCTACAACATTCATTTTGGTCGCTAGTGTTTCTATTTTCCTTGGAATGTTGGCTGTAAAAGGTGCTTTAAGATAATTTTATGTTAACTTATTTCTGAAGCTATTGGGTGATTTAAAAATCAAATAAGCATTTAACTGCTTGTTTCATTGTTCTTTTAATTTCAACTAATGCTGAGTATTTTTATGATTAATGAAATCCAGACACTTTATTAAAGTTAACTGGATTTAACTGTCTAAGGACAAATCCAGATGAAGCATGACTTTGGTACCAAATGCAGTTTAACATCAAGTCTTTCAGTCCAACTGGTCCAACAATCACAGCCCGATGAGGAAGTACTCGTCAGTACTAATTTGGCTCACTGTTGAGTGTGACAGATACTGCAGACTGCAGACCCGGAGGCCATGTCTGGAGCCTGACTCATGACTCATGACTCATGCCTCACCTCGTGGATGAAGTAGACCTTTGCTCCCACGTAGATGCCCATACGGACGACGGCCCGGACCGCCCCATTCATACCTGTTAGAGAACAGAGAAGAGTTATCAAGGAAACAGACAGTCCTTTTCAATAAGCATTTTTGTGACTGTCATGATGTGTTTTGTGATAGAAATGTACACTATATACACTTGTTTTTTATGATGAATGCTTTATGATTCTTTCAGCTAAGAACACAGGGTGATACTTTGTCTTCTTTATCTGCTCTTTATAACATTTGTTAAATCTATCAGGGGAGAGAGCAGAGATTGCATTTGCAAATCATTAAATGAATATTGCAATAAAATGTCTTTTGTTGAATTCACTTTATTACAGAAATGTCCGCAACATGTTTGACATGGTATGCAAATAGCCAAAGGATGACCTCCAAACAGGGCAGTAGCCTATTGTGCAGTCAATTTGGACAGGTGAAGAAATTAACCATGCCTTTTTTTTTACAGCTTGTCTTGTCACGGCTACTCTCCTAACGCATCTTAGTTTTCCGGAGAATTATTCAGTCAACTGGAGAGGACACAAGGACACGGACACAAAATAACTCATATTTGTGTAAATCCGACTGTCGTGTGAACTACTGTATATATTATAGTATTTGCTATAAATAAGAAAAGAATAGAACATCAGAAAAAGAATGTGCTTAACAGAGTTTAAATGTATATATTTCACATCTACATCTACCACTTGCAACCTTCTTGCAATCCTACTTGAAACGAGCAAAGTGACAAGTGACGGGGAGGGAGAGAACATAGTAAACATAACAGCATAAACAGGGAGTGGCAGAAACCAGACAGACCGACAGACAACAGGAGAGGTCAGAACAGAGAGAGGGAGAGACACAGAGACAGAGAGAGGAGACGAGAGTGCCCTTGAGCATCTTGTGTCGAAACACAAAGTGTCTGTCGGAGCACTTAGTGAAATTAGAAACGGCGGACTATAAATCTCAGACCGAGGCTGTGGTCTACACAGTGACCGTACAGTTTCAAGCGAGCAGACAAAGGCTGTTATGCTGTGATTGTAGTGATTGATTAAAAAAATGTGTTTGATGTACAACTGGCTGAGGGTGTAACTTGTTGATAGCTCCCTGACATTTTGCTTCAGCGTTGCAGCCTGCGTGCAGACTGAGGGCTGTGATTAAACTTTAATGAGTCGAATGGAGAAATCGGATATGGAGCCAATAGTAAAAGACCACTGCAAAGAAACTACAAATGAGAATACAGCCGCAACTAGCCTACGGATTGTTTCCATCATCAGTTCCTATGCGAGCAGCCTTTTAAATAACCAATAAATTGTTAAGTATGCAAAATGCCAGAAAATAACAGGAAATGTCCATCATCAGTTCCTAAAGCCTGTGGTGATGTTACCATAAGGCTTGTTTTGTTAAACACTGAAGGGCATACTGACATGTCTTTTATAACGCAGGAGGCACGTTCGGTCTTTCTGAGCCCGGTCTCTGTGGCAGTATGAGTGCGGCCAAGCACTGAGCACAGCAGGCTCGAGCTGCCCCTCACAGCCAACCGGGCTCTCTCTGCCAGATTCCCTCCCACTCATTGGCCCTTGTTTGCAGAACGCGTACAAGACGTGACTACTCCTTTGGTGACAGCGTCGTGCTTTAGGCCCCCGTTTAGACAGTGAGTGCATAGGACTGCAATGAATAAACTGTAGCCTCCTTATTCATTTCACTCATGGTTGGCACAAAAACTTCTGACAAAAATGTTTAACTTTGTTTACAGTGTTTAACATTGTATTTCTACGGTGACAAAGGATAAAATGGTTCTTTGCCAAATGACAATGTTTCCAAACGCTGCGTAAAAAGCTTGCAAAAACTTTGATGAACAGCCTTGGGTTGGGGGTTGTGAAAAGGGTTTATACTCGGGTTGTAAAACTTTTTCTTCTGGCAGAGACAGCTGATTTGTGCCTGCACTAAACTAGGGCTGCAACAAACAATTTCGTTTTTCATAATTGATTAATCTGCTAATTATTTTTGCCCATCACATAAGACAAAACGTGCAGCAAATCCTCACCGGTGACATGCTGCAACTAGGGAGTGTTTGGCATTTTTGCTAGAAAGAAGGACATAAATGTGAGTGAGCAAAAAAACAAAATGAGTAAAAAAATCTTACTGGATAATTTTTTTTTTAACAAAGATGTTACATGTTACACATATGTTTCGTGCCGTGCTGGAGGCACTATTACAAAAATGATAACATTCTAATGCAGGTTATGTGTAGGATAGCTGCACAAAGGGGGGCTTTCCTGCCCAGAAGAAACAGTATGCAAGTCTGGATTTGGTTTCAGGCAGTGTTGATGGGATGAGCCAGTGTTGCTAAGAGACCAAGACAGTGCTGGTTGGTTGGAAAGAGTTTCAATTGGACAATATGTTTAAAAATACATTAGGTGATTTCAATGAATGACGTAAAAATGGTGATGAAGTAAAGCATCTCATCTCATGTTTGTATGTGTGTGTGTATGTGTGTGTGTGTGTCCCAGCTGTGCTCTTGGAATAACTTTCCCTAAGGCCTGCTGCGAACCTCTCCAGTTGCGTGTCTGTGTGTGCGCCGCATGTATGCATGTACTCCACAGGGTAGCAGGGACATTTGCCTTAGTCATCATTTTTTCATCTTACAGCAAGATTGGTGGTGGAAAATCCTCTAAGGCTTGTTGGATTTAGAGAAAGGCTGTAAAATATTTTAAAAAGAACAAACAAATTACTGCATCAAAATGTAAATTTTCTCTAGGCATTCCTGATATATATTTTTTTTCCTGCACAAGATATTTTTGTATTTAATTTATTATTTCAACTATTTCTTATTTGTGGAACTATTATCTATTCTATTATTATATGGGTTATTTGTTAATATTTGGATTTTTGCTAATTCATTTAATTGATGATGATAAAGAAAATTTGGGATGAAAAATTGAATATATCCTAAAACCAGATTTGTGCCAGTACAGAGTAGCTAAGAAACTGTTTACATTCAGTATATTATGAACGAATGCACAAGAACCAATTTTGTATGTCCTAAAGGAACATGTTTATATGTCAGTTACTGCAGTGTTAATCAAAGTTTTCAGCTTTTGCTCTCGGGTAAAGAATAATTTTCGGCTTGTTTAATTTGAGTCAGTACCAAAGACAAACACACATACAAAATCCCTTTAAAGATAGCTCTGTTTATTGGCATGTTCGACACTGTGCACCATTTTCAAGCTGGCAGCACCGCAAGGAACAAAACATTCCATTAGACGTTGTTACTACAAAGACTGACTCTGTTTTGCATTGATTTATTTTTAAGAATCAGGATCAGAATCAGCTTTATTTGCCTGGTATGTGCACACATATGAGGAATCTGACTCTGGATTGTACATTGCTCAGGATGTGCTTACTCAAACAATGATGCAATAATAAAATCAAACACAGGGTACAGTATAGAGAACAAACATATATATATATATATGTTTGTTCTCTATACTGATTTTCCTTCTTCACTACATCAGTGCATACCCGCTGCTGCTCACGTAGGCGCCTTGCCGCCGTGACAGGATGGGTAAAGCAATTTATAACCATACCGGAAGTCGACAGAGTCTGCCTTCTAAATAAAAGCTTCGCAGCGCAAACTGGAAGATACGAAATTTACTGTGAAAGGTTCACTCGGAAGTGGAAAGTTTTAGTCTGGCCAGCTTCACACACGGTCCTCTCAGGACTCATCCTCCGTGATGTGACATCACATGGGAAATTTTTACGCATCTGCAGTCATATGCGAGCCTTTTTTTTTTCCTCAAGTTCTATTGATCAGTTTTTTTAGTTTAAACTTCTTGAAACTATATTTTATCCAAACAAATGGCATGGTGTTTATGAGCTTTGTGACGGCAACGTGTAGTGATGCCCAGAATTACAGTCCTAATGACATTTTTAAGGGTTCTTACTACAACAGGAAACCCGAGAGGTCTTCATCATTAGAGAAAACATAGGCAGCCCTAACCTAGACATTCAATAGATTTAAAATCCCATGTAGACCTGCAGCAAGACCTGAACTCCTTATGAAAATACTACAGGAATTATAGTGAGCACTGGGACTCAGATGCACGCACAAACACACATGCGCCATCGATGGTTTGCACGCAACAGATAGGTGCAATGGTGCAGGGTGCATGTTGAGGAAAAAAACACCTGATGTAAAAGAACAAGTCCTTTGAATTATTCGATTCTCACGATGACTTGTTGTTATTAGTCCTGCATTCTAAATGATCCAAAAGCACAAATTCCAACCTGGACACATTTATTAGCAGGACTGGATCATCAATATTGTTTAATGTACAGTTAAGGTTCACAGCAGAATGTAACTGTAACGTAACGAGTGCTTTATCGGACAAGACTGCGGCTACACATCCATTATCGGACAGGTCTTTGGCTAACGCGCTCCTGTCATTACTCTAACGTTGACTAAACGTAGACGACAACTAATGGCAAACCTTCACCAAAAACATTGTAACGGATGTTACACCACTGCAACATCTTGGGCGGAAATGAATGTTTGATATTGAAACTAACGTTAGCTAACCCTAGCTTAATGCTCTTGGTATAAAGTAACGTTACGTGCCGCTTTGAAAAAGCAAACGTACGTTACGTTGTCTAAAACAACGACAAACAACAGTGACTTAGAGCCTATTGATGGTTCCCTCTCGTTTACTGGCAGCACTTTGCGGTCACAGTAATTAAATTGGTAACGTTAGACTCAGAAGAGCCAGCAGATCTGTCCGATATTGGAACTCTAATCACACAACGTTACCTTGGGCATCTCCTCCGCTGGTCAGCACTGCGATGGATTTACCAGCACCGGACAGATTCTCGAAATATTTCCGGGTGTCCTGCCGCTTTGGTGCTGCCATGCCAGCCATCCCGGGTCACTATTACCTGCCAAAAAAATTTAATGTACAATTCAACAAGACTGCTGCGACGAGTGTCAGTATCTGAGACGGGAGGGATACTGTAGCAGCACTGCAGTGGTTAACGCCTCATTCTTCACATACACGCCCCCTGACCAAAGACCGTAGATTAAGTAAGATGACTCACTCACTCACTACTACAACAACCATGCTCAATTACACAAGTGTGAAGTATGTGGAATATACTCAAGTTACCAACAAATTTAATATTTATATGAATATAATTATATAATTGTAATTCCTCACAGAGTGGTCAGGTTTCTAGAGTAGGAAGTCCAGCTCGCTTACCCGTGTTTAAATTACAATTTAGATGCCCAAAACAGACTATGGAGAATGACGGTAGCTCAACTGAACCACCAGCAGTGTCATCCCGCAGAGTCGGCCTGTCTTAATGCTGTGGTTTGTGATATTTGACACCATCTGCTTTTAACTTTTTAAAGTAATAACACCGTTTTATTAATATTTACAATTACAAATGAAAAGTTTAATTCACAGAAATAAGAATTTTGCTCAAATTAACATGCTTTTCTGTTAGCTTTTGCTGGCTAATTTAGCAACTTGTGCGAGTGTTTACACAAATTAAATATTAAGTAAAGTATTTAGACTCTAGACAGACCGTTATGACCTGCAAGGCTAGCCTAACCAGGTTTTTGACCCTCGCCCTTTTTATATACAGTCTATTACAGTAACATTACCTGTAAATGTAAATGTCTATGCCCTGGCTGTGCAGCTCATCAAAGGCCATCAAGTTTCCCTAACTCAGTAAGGTTAGCTTGTCACAAAGTAGGTTTTTAAAATTATAGGCTGTATCTATACTGTAGTCTATAGTTATCTCCCCTTTTTTATATAAGCGGGAACCTCTGGGTCTGGAAAAGTGAAGCCAATACGATCTTAAACTTTCCATTCAACGGCCAGCAGGGGGCGACTCCACTGGTTGCAAAAAGAAGTCACATTGCATTAGGCTTAATGGCAAAATGCCCCTACTTCCCACTTAATTTCTCAATAATTAATTTCAATTCTTTTTCAATAGACCATGTCACATTTAGAAGAAAATAGACAACGAAGTAGAGGATGCTTTAGGATGGGGCTAAAGTAACAAGTCACTACCATGGCGACCTCTCAATCAGAACAGGGGCATCTCATATCAGCTTCACAGCACCTCTGAAAAAGCTTATTAGGAGTTGGTTTGAATTTCTCCACTTAGCACATTTTGTTTTAAGCTTGTTTTTTTCCTAGCCAAAAGTAGCATCCCAGTTAATATTACAGTTACCTTGAAATTCTATGATTACGGCCAAAATGCCAAATTGTCCACAAACAATGGGTGACGTCATGGAATTGGCTAGCATTAGCCAGTGGTGATGTTTGAGCAAACGTGACCTCGCAGCTAACGTGCAATGACTTGTAATAGCAGTGATTTGGTTTGAGAGGATTTTCTTTACATATATATATATATTTCCAAATAGAGGAAACGCAGGATATTTGCTAACAGAAGAAACACATGAACATAATAAACCTGTGTTACAAAAATAGCTTAATTTTTGGAAAATATTTTAAATACTAACAATTCAAGTAGGTTACTCAAAAGAGTTAGGGTTTACAGAAAAGAAAGAAATAACAGTGGTTGTAAAGAAATTTCATGCAAATTTTGTCATCTCTGAGTATGCGGTCTGGAAATAGATCCAGAGTAAGAGGTCTTCACTTTTTCTATCCTTTGGCTCTCACGACCCCTGCTTCCCAGCTAAAGAGAGCCAGCAAATGACGCAGCCCTGTGTTTTCCTGACTGGCAGTTAAATTATCTAATGGGCGTCCTGATCACGTACAGTGAAGTAAATTCCAACCAATTGCAACCGAGGCAATGTTCTTTCAGTCAGGAAATATTACACTTCACTAGCAATTCATACGTTTCTTTGGAATACAAACACTAAAACGTGAGTGTCGTAACAGCTTCAGTTGACATAATGTAAAAATAGAGATTAGATTATTAGATGAATTATGCAATTTCAGCAACAAAGAATTTAATGCACATACAAACAGCTCAGATACTTATGAAATATTTATATGGGGACTTGCAACATCTCTGTGGTTCTCAGTATTTTTAAATGTGTATTTCTTATATTGTTTTGTAAAGTTATGATATTTGAATATAAATATTACCAGTACTAAACCATAATTACAGGGATGGTTTAACTACAAAAGTGACAAGTTAGACAGAATTCATGACCTTTGGTGAAGTTCATGACCTTGAGCTATTGTTCTGCTGCAAGCTTTATCAGAATGACTGTTTCCAAGCACAGCACTGCATCTCACGCCAGCCAACAGTGGTTATATTTCATAATAATATATTCATGACAAAAGAGTTTATTTGAGAGTAAGTTTTCATATATCCACTGGAGTTGCAGTGTGATTAGATTGGAAGGGCCATGCAGAGGACACAAGGTTCTGGACCAGTTTCAAGTTCAGTTTCTGCAGAGAAGAGTCTCGGCAAGGTGATGCAGTCTGTACGTCTGTGTAGCACAAATGTGCCTTCATATTATATGTGGTCAGTCCTCCTGACTAAAGAAATTTGGTTGCTCCTCACTTCTCCAAATGCAAGCCTAACATTTAAAATAAGGAACTTCTTGAGTGCAGTCTGGGTGTGTCTTTACAACCAGTTACACGGCCAAACAGTGTTTCTTATTTGACATTCGGGATTCATATCAATATGTGAGGATGCATAACAGTTTTTCAATTATGGAAAATCAGAATTTAATTTTACACCTATGGCATACCAGATGTGAATAGAAGTGTGTTATAGCTTCAACAGAGCACTGAAACAAGCAAACACTGTAGTATGTGACATTGAAGCTAAGTCAAAGTAAAATTTAAGCAGTGATTTAGCAGTGTTTCCATAAAGCCAGGGGAATCCTACACTTCCCATAGTGCTGCTTGATAAACCTTCCCTGCCTGGTTCCCAAATCTTTCAAACTTAATGTTTGCAGTTTGTGACACAGGCTATTTTTTATTTAATTTTTTACACGTGTAGTGTGAAGGGACAAGCAGAGATAACCCTGCTGGCAATGGCTCATCCCTTCAAAGTTTAATACGTTAAGAAAGTTGTAGGTCAAAGTGGATCAGGAATCAGGATGAGATTTTTTATTTATTGTTATCACATATAGCAGCTTAGAAGAGGTCCTGACAAGTTTATAGCGTGTGTAGTAACAGCTCTGGCAGCAGGTAAAAGGAAACAGGACCCAAGCACAGACACCAGGCCTAACAGCCTACAGTTTTGCCTTTGTGTTTTTGCATTTTGTAGATAGAATATGCTAGTATATGTACATATATGTATTAAAAATTATTAATAATGTGACGCTACATTAATATGACATTCGGGAGGGGAGTGATGGGAACTTTTGGGGAAATTCTTTCAACAGATGCTGGAGTATGACCATAGACTGTATATAAAAAGAATGTGGACAAATGTTTAGCTCAAATTCCTGTAAAATGTCGCCACCTGCTGCTCTAAATAGAACATTGCAGACGCAGGGAGCGAGCTGCTCGGTCACTGATTATTACAGTAGTTTTACCAGATTATTACAGTGATGAAAAATCATAGTGGGTGGATACTTGCATTTTCATTCATGTACATTATTCTTCATCTCAATATAGTGTATGTAGAAACAGCTGTAATGCAAAACAACCCAACGGACCGGGAGTTGATTTACTTTCTAGTGGATGAAATAAAAAGACAGAGGCAGTCCTGCTCAATAAAAATAATTTATTTACAGTGGCATGAATCATAAATTAACAAGCAGCATTGGCAAAAGCAAAATTAGTGGACAGCTTGCATAAAGTGGTGTGAACGTCAGGACTTTTGCATAATAAAAACCCTCACACTCTGAATTACACTGTATGTACTGGACTGTCACCGCTGAGATATTTAATATGAACATCAGGGATAATTTAGAGGATGATTTAGAAATTAAACTCAGAGAGTAATATTTTATTGTGTGTGTATTATGTCTCAGAAAATATTCCAAAAGGGTCAGGGAGTATGTTTTCAGCTTTACGTGATAAATAATTTACCAGTTTCTAAGATTTCTAGCACGTTAAATCTAAACCTTCTGACCTGGTTGTCTTAAACACTACCTCCCTGCCCACTGTTGTAGAAGGAATGCTTTAATTAAATATCCAGGTGATGACTGCCGGACCTCATTGTTGTTTTATGCAGATCATTACCACCAGCATGATCTTAAAGCCACCACATGTAGGATTAGAACACTTCCAACTCGGGTGCCACCCGGTGATAAAAATCACAAAACACACCGCAACCCTGAGCCCCGAAAACAAACAGGTCACCAACAAAGATCAGCTAAGGTCCAAGATTACTTAAGCAAACAAAAAAACAGTGTTAGTGAGGGCCATTCTCTCTGATGCGTTGTGCACTAACATACAGTGTAACTACAAACAAAATCATTCGCAATTTTTGCACATTGATTACAAACGCTAACAGTATTATTTGTAATTTCCATGAGTTGATACACAGGTTTTTCAATGTCACTTCTTGGGAGAAAATATAAAAAATCCTAGTTGTCTAATTATTACTCCTACAATATGAAGTGGAAAAACACTCACTCAGCAGTTTGTGACACATATAATCCACCTGTTATATACAGTTATATACCAGACAGAGAATCACAGATCTAAGGCATTATGCTTTTCTCTTTAGCATCTTAAGGTACTTACATGAATTACAGTATTTTGCAATTGATAAAATATCCATCTATGAATTAAGAAAAGTCTTCAATAATATATGTGTACTGTTTCAGTCAAAATCAAGAGAAAATAATTCACCTTTACCTCATACATTAGGAGTCACTGTACATGAGCGTTTACATTCGCTCTTGATTGCCTTGAACTTTTGCAGAGAGTTTGCAATACAATATGCTAGTACACTGGTGTATAATTCACTGTACTGAAAGCTGAGGGGGTTCAATGCAAAATGTTCGAAAAAAAAAATAGTTTTCACCATTTCATTTTGCAGTTTCAGTTTGCATTTTCACATTCTTCTTTTGGGAACAA